GGCTCACTGCTGCCAACTAGTGGTCAGAGGCTGAACTACAACATAAAAATGAGCGGCTGGCAGGAAAGTTGACATTTTAAACCTTAATAAAAAAATCGATACAGGGCTTTAGAATATCGGTACAGTATCAGGAAAGGAAATATCGCGATGTTTCAGTGTATCGATATTTTCTTGCACCCCTAATTTTGAGGCTGTATCTTTAAATTCAAAGGAGAGCAAACAAACTAAACAGCACAAAGTTGTATTAAACTAAGGTGGCTCCATTATAAAGATACTGTCCATTGTAAAGAAACTTTGTTACTGGCAAAACATAAAAAAAAGGTTTTATGTAAAATGTATAAATTGTAAAACATTCATTCTAAAATCGGCTCTGTTTTATATTATTGTTTGTTTCAGGAGGCTATAGTGCTGAGGAGAAGTACCGGATTTTTATGCGACATCGTTACAACAGTTGTCTAGAGATGCTGCAAGAGCATCTCAACCACGAACTGCATGAAGTGAAGGTGAGCTTAGTTGTAATTTTAATATGACATTTTATATGCTTGTTTTTGTCCAGTTTTCCCCCTTCGTTATAAGTATGTAGGAGTGAATCAGACATGTTTTAAAGGGCTTGGTAGAGTAAAATAAGGCTAAAAGGTGTGAGCGTTTATCATACGATAATGTCTGATTATAGGAAAGTTCGCTGTGCTGTTTAATGAAGTTTGCTGAAGCAGAAGGACGGCATCCTTTGGAAGATAAAGACTGGAGTGAACATCACAGCTTCCCAACGGAACTAATCCAGGTAGAATTTTAACAATAACACCGATTAGTCAAGTCTGTATATGTAGTTTTCCCTAATGTTTTTAAAAAGACAGCTGATTTTTAAACGGTATCTGACTGGGCTGAGGCTGTTGCAGTCTGGGTTTTTAGTGTTTGCGACCAAATGATCACCCAAGCTGTGCAGGTAGCCTTTTTGTTTGCTAGGTTATTGAAATCGTAGCCTTATTTTATTTTATTTTATTTTATTTTATTTTATGTTATGTTATTTTATTTTTGTGCACAGCCTGCAAAACATTTATTTTCTCCAATTGTTCTTAACTGTTTTTCCTCTGAGACACCCAGTGGAATAGATGGAGAGCACTGAATTACACGTTTGAAATATATAAAGGCATGTCTGGACCATTAAAAAGAAAACGTCATTGCGTGGTCAGACATGGACACTCGGGACTTTAGCATTGGATGTGTTCTGTCGCAGGTAGAGCTTAGCAGCCTTRGCATTCTGTCATTCAGGGATACCGCAGGTAGTGATCTTTGATTCATCAAAGACATATTTAGTAAGTTTTTTTTTTCTTAAATTCCCATTAGGCCTGTCGCGATAGTCAATAAATCAATTAATTGCACGATAAGTTATTTTGAGGTCGGTAAAAAAAATGAGGACGATAAGTTTCATTTTCCTGCTTGTTTGTTTGCTTTGTCTCTCTCCCTCTCTGTGCTCTGCTACACAGGAGCTCAGCTGACTCCTCCCCTCCTGTTTTCTTAGTGTCGGGAGGAGTCAACTCTGGCTTTAGCGTGAGAGCTCGTAGCAATAACAAACTAAAGAAACGTTTCAAAGCAGAATGCGGCTGCTGCAGTGTTGGAGCACTAGAACCTGAATTTCGCTGCAGGGAGACACAGAGAGAGAGAGAGAGGAGGAGAAGAGGTGGGGGCTGAAACTCCCCCAGACCCACGACAAACTCATCAAGACTTTACCTGTAGCTCCCAAAAATGACAGGAAACTTAAACGCACCATCTGTGTTTTAACAAAACACCCCMAAAAAAACTGTAGCTGTCCCCACAACTCATGAGGAAAACTGAGAACTGTCTGATTTCCTCCCCCACAGCGCTCTGCTTGTCTCCTCACTGACTGTCCCCTCCTCACACACACACATAGACACTTGTTCTTCTATCCTCATGGGGACTTTGCATTGACTTTCATTCATTTACCAGTATTTTCTATTACCATTTGACCCTAAACCTAGCCTACACTTTACATGGGATTTGAACTGGGCTTATGTCCCCATAAGAAACAGTGGTCCTCACCAGGCTGTGTAGTTTGCKTCATCTCTAAAGAGATGCTGCTCTTTAAAATTGTTTATTTACTGTCTTAGTTGTGTGTGGTGTTTAATTTACATTTTGTTGTTCTTTGTTTTTGTTTTTTGTTTTTATTCAAGTGCATTTTTTGTTAGGGACAGAGTCCATTTTGTTAAACATTCTTTAAAAATTAAAGTTTATTGATTTATTACACTTACATATTACGCTTTTATAATTATTAGTTGTAAAATGGTCACCAGGCAATATTATCGCTTATCGCAATAATTTGTGAGACAATCGCCCAGCAAAATTTGTTATCGTGACAGGCCTAATTTCCATCCTTGCTAGATTCATGGAGACTAAATTAAGACATTGATGATTTCTGCAACTATGAGAGAAAAGTTGTCTCAAATGTTTTGAACGTGCTCAAAATTCAAGGGACCCCTGCTGAATGTGTCGAGACATTTGGGAGAGCTAAATATTGTTCACTAACTGGTTTCCAGCCCAGTGACATATTGGCTTTAGTAGCTTGGGCATTTTGTGACGATTCTGATTTATTCCACTGTCAGGCAGTGGTGCACAACCTTCTGTCGAAGAAGACCGACAACTCGCTGCTGATCTCCAGGTTCCAGGAGTTTCTGGAGATGGAGGATGTGCGTTACTACGTAATGAGCGCCATCCGTGTGAACGTGCCCCACGTCATGGAGAAAAACAAAGGAGTAGGACCACTCGACTCATCTGCCACATGTTTTTATTGACTCTAGTCTGATGCTTTTCTTTCTGYTGCTTACATTTTACATTGTGTGTTTGTTTTATGTAGGCTGTGTTGCCTGTATATCAGAACAATGTGTTCACACTCATGTCCAACATTAACGTTCCAAGCCAGGAGTCTGAAATGACCAACTTTATGGTCAAACAGGAAGGTGAGACCCTTTGCACAAGTTAAAGTTGAGTAGGCTTCACAGAATTGTTGCTGAAAGGGAAAAATATTAAAAAGGTTTTTTTTTTCTAGCCAAACACGAGGACTGGAAAGCTGCTAAGCTTCATGTAAGTGACGTATTTAAAATCTTACCTTCACGTGTCTGAATGAAACATAAACATGGGCTAAATTAGCTGTGAAATATCGTCTTTCTGCAGGATCACAAACGTGCCTTTGAGAGAATGTGGCTTGGTTTTCTGAAGTACAAGGTAAATATCCAGACTGCACCATCCACAGTTCCCTTTCTTGTCAACACTTACACAGTCTTGAATGTGTATACGTTAAAAATGTTCTTTCTGTTGTAGTTGCCAAACAGCATGTATAAAAAAGTGTTGGTGATTCTGCACGACTCCATTTTGCCACACATGAGCAACCCCTCCATGATGCTCGGCTTTTTGACCGCAGCCTATGATGTTGGTAGGTTGAATTAATTTTCGCTGCGATCRTTTGGACACAGCTTTGTTCGGGAGAACCATAAAACCATTCTGTCACTGAACAGGTGGGGCCATCAGTCTGCTGGCTCTCAACGGTCTTTTTGTGCTCATACATCAGCACAACCTGTGAGTATTTCACATGACAAAGTTCATTTGTAGGGCCCTATGAAATCTGTGAATTTTTTTTTCTCAAATTTAGCT